AAACCGAGTTAAGAGACATTGAAAAATATAAGCCTTTATATTATGATAATCTACTACAATGGAAGGGGGCAGTTTGTAATTCTTGTTGGTAAACAAAAATGAACTCTTGTATTTTTATTTTTTTCGATGCAAACGATAGTTTGTATCAAATTAATCTAAACGGAAGATGGTTCGAGCTCTAATATTCCCTAAAGAAAAACCTTAGTCGTTGGGGACCTTAAGAAAAAACCTATCGTTGCCGGCCCCTTTTTTTTGCCTTGGGGTGGGCATCATTCCACTTTTATCCCTTCTATTTCTTTTTTGGTTATTAGTAGCGTCGTTCTCTCGCTTTTTTTAGGAGAGTTTTTGTGTTTGTGGTTGTGGTCACTTCGTCTTTTGAAGATGAGAGATTTTGCAGCGGTTATAACTTACTGCTCAACCTCTGATCTTAAAGTGACAATTGTTGTTCAAAATTGATTTGGTGATTTTGTAGTTTGTGCACTTGTCAAGGATTGAAGGGGAAGCTCGACGTTTGTTGCAGGTAACTCATAGTAAGGTGTTTTGCGACGATTGCAAGATCATCAATGGGTGGTGTGGTATTTCCCTTGTGGGGCATTGTAGTGGTTTGAGGGATTCACAATCATGTTCTCTTGCATAGTCTTCAGGTGATGGTAAATTACCTTGTGTGTATTGACGGAGTTTGGTCTAGCTCGTAGAGTTTAGGCCTTGTGAGCTTGTCTTTCATATTGGTAAGATGTGGGTCTCCAGTCATTGAGGAATCGTACCTATGAAGAGTTATTTAGTATTGTCATTTTTTTGTTTGTTTTGTTTTGTTGTTTGTTTGCCCGGCAAAGAACCATGAGGACATCGTCGTGATGTCTCATAGCAGGGCTTCTTTGCCGAATGAGCGTTGTCTTTTGCAAGTTCATTAGAAAGTGATGCAAAGTTTTGTCCTTGTGAGCGTATCTTTCTGTGTTGGTTCGATGTGGTTATATGGAATAGGTTTTGTATTGTCTTTTTGTTGGGTTTGTAATCATGGAATTATATTTTTGATCGACGATGTTTCTCATTCTATTTGATTAATGAAATATTTATTACCTAAAAAAAAAATATGTTTCGAGCTCAAATGTAAAGGGGCAACATATTGTTCTGGCCACTTAAATAAGCCGAAATGTGAAAAAAAAAAAAAGAACTCTTGTTAGATAGTTGTCACGCTATTAAAAGAATATTGAGTTGCATTAAAAATAATATTACTCAAGTCTTGCTTGACATATAGACGCTGTTCTAAAAGATCCGAACTCTAGGCGGTTGGTCATCACCCTGATTAGTCCCTAGACATTTGAAAATTCGGACAACGGAAGAAATTGGAGATGGTTAGAGTTTTGTTGAGTTAAAAAATTCAACAAAATCTCATTTTGGTTTTTAACAAACTATCTATGTTTTTAAGTTACTCTTGAGTTTAGTTTTTAAAAATAATTCAACTAAACAAAAATAAATACACAAAACTCGAAAAGTGTTTCGAAATTTAAAAAGTTGAATTGATTTCAATATTTATAAAAGCCATGTATAGCCCCTGCCAACTAACGTTTTACTTAATCTTTATGATTGGTGAATTTTTCTAATTATTGGTGCCACCAAATATCGACTTATTAATGAAAATGCTACCGCTTTTTTTTTGTTCTTACTTTTATTAGATGATTTTGGTTAATAAATAGAGTTGTGAGACATTGAAACCCTTTTTATTTATAGTTTTTCTTAAATTCGATAAGTTTTTTAGTCAAAATGGTATATGAGATTAATATAACTTATCACTTTAGTTCTGATAATGAAAATCGATAGAAGTGGTCCCTGAGTTTTTGGCTTGAAACTCAAAACAATATGTGAGCGTCAACCCACATCCATCTGAGTATGACCCGCAAGTTTTGAGCGTTAAAATAGGTCATTCATTTCTCAATTAATTGTTGTAACCGTTAGGCCATTGATTCCTCAAATGAATAGGCTATTCATTTTTCAATTAACTAGTCCAATTGATTCTCCCTATTGAGTAATTTGACAAATAGCCACACCACTATATAAAGGTGGTTATGCCTCATATTGTAACACATTACAACAATTCTCTAGTAGAATTTTGTCATTCTCTCTCGAAGTAATTCCTTCTACAATACGTTATCAGCACTTTTGCTTTACAACCCCTTGAGACTTTATTCAAAATGGGGTTCCTCTATATCTGCTTAGGAATCTTATGCATGACTTTATAGACCCACAGAAACAGTCTAATTTGGAGAGAGCCCACTATCAGATACGAATATGACATCAATTTGGAGACATTGTCTCACAATTTATCCGCACGCACAAGTAACTGAACGCATCATCTTTAGCAGAATTGAATCTCAGAACATGTGACCAACCAAATAATTTCAAATCAAAGAAAATTAAGTGATTTTATGCCTGAGCCAATTTGCTCAACCTGGGACTTCTAACGCCATACAAACAAAAGGGGATTCACTCGTTCAAACATGAGCCCTTGTGTACAAAGATGAATTCTCTTAATCATTTAAGCTACAACACATTTGCAAATGAAAAGATCTATTTCACTAGGAAAACTACTGGATGCATGGTGGTGGACAGCACCTTTTCTCATGTCACATTTTCTAGGAAAACTCCTTTCAATGATATCATATTTCAGCAAACATATTCGCTGAAGAAATTTTTTGCCGAACTCAGCCCGTGATCGTTTCTTGCAGTTCCACTCGAGTCTTCATTTTGTCGAAGGAAGTCCAGAGTTTAAATCTCATACATGTCATTAAGTAAAAACAAAAACAACAAACTCATTTTTTGGCAAAAACTAGTACACATGGTAATTTCTTCCGGCATAAACTCGGACACATTACCATGTGGCTCTTCTTACGAGTGAAGGTTGGAGTCCTGACCCCAAGGACCACGCCTCGTCTTCAGTAAGCTGTCGAGGTCAGAGTCCAAAAGAATCAAGGCTCAGGCGGATTACTAGCGGTGAGAAGATTGGAAACCAACCCTCCCACGCCACCGACAGCAAACCTGCCGGAAGGCTCTAGGATCCGTCTCTACTTTCCCTCTTCCTCCCATGCCACCCATTTCCAAGAATTGTTATGAACTTGGATAAGCACCGCAAGTTCTAGCAAAGGCTTTAAGCACCAACTCATCTATGTTGCTTATGCTTACAGTGCAGTACGAAGTGTGGTTTCGCATCCTGTTGGGAAGTATGATTTATATAGAGCAAGACCTTGGAATGGATAAGCACAAGAGAGATAAGGTCACATGAATTATCAAGGTAAGTGTCGAAGAAAGTCAGTTTTAACTTTGAAGAACGATGCATGTCTTGTACATGTAGCTTCGACATCTGAAAAGTTAAACTCTGTGTAACTGTAATGTTTATTTTATTAATTTCATGGTAAGTGGCGAAGAAAGTCCATTTTAAGAACCATGCATGCCTTGTACGTGTTGCTTCGACATCAAACGAGTTGAATCAGTGTAACCGTAACTTTTTTTTCATTTACTTTCACGGTAAGTGACGAAGAACCTCCGTTTTAAGAACAATGCATGCCTTGTACGTGTTGCTTCAACATCAGACAAGTTGAACTCTGTGTAACTAACATTTTTTTCATTAACTTTCATGGTAAGTGATGAATAAAGTCCGTTTGAACAACCATGCATGCATTGTAACTTCGACATAAAAAAAGTTCCAACTCTAAATAACCGTACGTAACATTTGTTTGTTTAAAAAAAAAAAAAACGTAATATTTATTTCATTAAGAATAATACTTGTGTTTCCCCCATTATAAAGATGAGCTTATTTCCCTACTTGCAAATAACATATCTTCACCCCTAGAAATTTCATCAGAACAATTTAATTTCTTAGTCTTCATTTGAAGATCATCCTTACAAAAAAATCATTCTAATGGGAGATTGTTTAGTCTTTCAAACGTATCGAGTAAATCAATGGTGTAGGTACCAAAATAACATATTAATGATGAATCATCCATTTATGTGATACATATGAATGACTAAACGATCTTTGAGAAAATAATTTTGTATAGAAATGATATTCAAATAAAGATTAAGAAGTTGAATGTGTCCAATTATAAAATTTCTACGTGATAGTATGTTATTTGTAAGTAGGAGAATGACCCCAATCATTTAGGTACGATTTGGGGGAATGCAAACCAAGTGTCAAAGACAGTTCGTTTAAAGAACCATGCATGCTTTATAAGTGTAGCTTCGATATCATAAAAGTTAAACTCTGTGTAACCGTAACTTTTATTCACTACTGAATAAATAAATAAGAAACACTCGATCTGCGGTGTTACTAAGTATTCAGTTCATTCAACTCATTTTAGGTCATGGTGCCAACTCAAAGATTAATTAATGCACTTGATTCATGTCTTTGAGCAATATTTTTCTTAGCTCAACCCAAAACCAACAAATTATGACTTAAATAGTTATTCCAAAGGAAAACTAATGAAAATGGCTTAAAAACTTTAAGTTTTAACGATAAGGACAAAATAAAGGGTAAAGTGAATAGTACCAGCTTTGACTTTTTAGTGTAAAAATGTGGTTTTTCGTTAAAGTGAACAGTACAACGGGCTTTTCATTGAAACTCCCTAATTCCAATCATAATTTTTTCTTTTCTAACAACACAAGATCATTGTCTTGGGTTTTCATAATATTGTAGATACTAAACTATTTAGTCTGGGAATTAAAATGCTTTAACTTTTAAGAGCCACCATTAAATTGATTTTGTGTTCTTAGCAAGGTAGCATTTAGTTTTTCCTTTTGTGCAAATTAAAAGGAAAACGTAACACTAAATAATTTCAAATTGAAATTATAGAGATCTCAGCACAGAACATTGATACGTTCTTAATAACTGTATATTACAATTGTATTGATGAATTTGCATGCAGAAATTAACCATGTGGGAAGTACAAAACCCTAACGTTTATAAACTGTTTAGATAAAACGGCGTAGTTGAACTAGGAGTTCAGACGTACCATACAAAATAAGTTTGTATTTCTGTAATTTCTAACTTGAAACTCCGAGTACGGGTACAGAAACTAATACTTCATTTGATCTAACAACAATACGTCTAATTACTCACTACTTGGTACCAACACTGCTATCTTGAGGCTATACAATCTCAAATCTTGTATTAAACATAGGAAGCATACAAAATTCCAGGATATATACAAAAATTATCGAAACTCAAATCTCCGCTATAAGCTTAATCACGTGATGTCAGCCATTGATGACCTTACAATAAAAGATTGGACTCCTGTGTGAATTTATGGTTCCTGGCAACTGATCTAGTCATGTGACTCATGTCGACAATTAGGACATCTGACGTTGCTCGGATGCAGTTTGCCATCTTCTTCTCCATCTCAAGAACTCGATGATGATGGAACTCCCACTCATCGCAACTCCCAACCCAGCAAATGTTGCGAGGAGAATACAAAGAACTGCTTGCACACGGACCTGAAGCCACAACATATGCAAAAGTACTTAACATTGGCATAAGATGACAGGAGTTGGAATGCTACATTTATTTCAACAAGAAAATCATACATAATAAGTGTAGCATATTGACTACAAATAAATGTTCAGAAGGGATTGAAGGTCCAAAAACTAGCACAAAGCCATTTCTTAGTGTTCAGAGTGGTGCCAAAAGTTGATCGAAATTTATGATCTGATTTATAATGTGCATAAAAGTTTGTAAGCCACACTAAGAGCAGCAAATTATAAATAGGAGATCGTTTGGGTTCCACTTCGATTACAAGAAAAGTGTGGAATGAACCTAAGAAAAACAAAGAAAAGATAACTTGCTGCAGAAAGAGCTTCTTACCATCGAGTAAAATATATGTGCAAATAGAACCACCAGAGCAAACTGAACCGATGCATAAACCCAGACAAATCTTCTTTGCACTGAACACAGACGATTCAAAAGTTAGGGTAGTGAATCAACAATCTATAAGTTGGAATTTTGCTCTTAAAAGAATATGATAAAAATTCAATGCCACGGTTGCATGAAAATATATCATGGCTTTATATTCTAATATTAAATGATTTCTCTCGTAGTTTCCTTCGGGGCGATGCGTGTTACAATTCCTTGTAACCTATAAACTCAGAACGTGTGTTTTTCACACCACAAATGAGCACTCGAAGATTGCACAACTTAAAGAGAAAGGATGATTGTCAGCCTACCCATGGTTGATGAGGTCATGGATGAGAGGAGACCCAGTACACATGAAAATGGAAGAGAGATGGCAATTGCTCCAGTACCCATCTTCTCCACCTGCAGTGAACATGCATATTATGAAGGAGGCAGAAAATATAAATTGACAACTCCACAGTTTTGATTTCCAATCTTACGAGGAGCTGCTCAAGAAAGCAAAAGTAGGCAAGCATGCTGACAATGACAAGCACAGGCACTTCCTGCCAAACCCTGAAAAGATATGAACGAACAACATTAGCGCATGAATGTTTTACTATGGATCATTTTTTTCAGCAAGATTCTTTTATTGAGCTTATGGGATGCAAGATAATTAAACAAGCATGTTTGTTTGTGAGGCATTGAACAATGAAAACTGTATAAATGCAAACACACTTGCCTGTACCCATTAGCATCTTCCTGCCCATATAAACTTGCACCAGCATTTCGAGCTCGAACACTTTGAATTCGTAATAGAGTGACAGGCAGGTTTTGAACCTCTTGCTTACACACATCACAGGTCTTGTTACCTTTGATGCTAAACCATTTAATAGCACATTCTTGGTGAGCCAGAGCAAGTTCACCTTTGCAACTGCATTCCATTTTGAGAGTCTCACCCCCTTCACACAGTTCCACAAGACAAATTCTACAGACGGCCTCTTCCTCAGATATGTCTTCACCATTATCATCATCTTTCCCTGAACCATGAGAGCAATAAGATAGAGTAAGAGTTGACATAATAGCCTAAGCAAATTTTTTATACAACAAAGTTATAAGTCAGAAACATTATCTTATAAAACTTGATCAGCAGTCAGTGTTCATGACATAATTGTAACTAGACAAGAAAGATACCAGCATCTGCTGTTGGGGAACTAATCGATACATCATCTCCTTCCTTGACTCGAGGAGTGGAAGAAATTACACGAAAAAATGAATCCATCCTCCTTAAGTTCATTTCTTTATGGTTGACTGGGACTGAAAGTGAGCGAGCTATCTGTCTTTTGGATTCTTTCCTCTGTAAGATAAAAAAGAAGCAAGCCCTTGTAATAGTAATACACATGTTTATAGATGGACATGACTGAGATGTTAGGCCATCTCCAACCGATCCGGCCAGAGGGCTAAAAATAGCCCGAAATGACACGAAAACCGCCTCCAACCGAGGGCTAGGCCAAAGGGCTCGTGGGCCCCACCGGACCAAAAACACCAAATCAGGCCAACCGGCTGGCCCAAATGAGCCAGCTAGCTAGCCCCGGGCCGGCCCAAATTTCAAATGCCAATGGCTACTGATGTCATGCTAATGCCAGTAGCCGTTGGATTTGAATTTTTTTTTTTTTTGGACAAAATTAAAAATAATAATAATAATTTTTTTTTTAATTTAAGTTGTAGTTTTTAAATTTAAGTTGTTGTAGTATTTAAATTGAAATAATAAATTATGTTCGCCTATGGCCCTTTGGCCCCCTCGGTTGGAGATGATTTTTTGTCACAGGGCTATATTTGGCCTATCGCCCTTTGGCCCCCTCACTTGGAGATGGTATGAAATATGGCATGGTACTGTTCATTAAAATATAATTTATTGGAGGGCTATAGGGCTAAAGGGAGCTCTCTGGCCCTCCTTCGGTTGGAGATGGCCTAAGAGCAAGTAGATTTGAGCAGCAAGATAATGGGGTACTCACATAATTGGAAGGAATAGATGCTAGGGTACTAGATGAGGTTATAGTTCTAAGATATTCTTCACATGTTTGATGGCCTAGTTAACATGTATGCTATGTACGTACTAGTGATTAATTGAACAAGAACTTGAACACATCTAATGAAGCTACATCCGTAATGCTAACAACCATGTGGTGGTGGGTTGATCAACTAGGTTAGATTAGACATTCTTGAGCAATAATGTCCAGAACTTACAATTGAATTCAGAGAGCCACCAACACTTCCGCCGTGTGCAGATTCTCGGAGTGCAAGTGCCATTGGAGTTACAGGTAGGGATGATGTTCTGTTCATCTTCGGTGTGAATAATTTTGTGAGAGACAGTGACCTTGAGATGGAAGCTTTTTCCCGAACTCCTGTAGAAGAACCTTCTGAAGCTAGGTTGGAAGCCTTCTCCGCATCAGCAGTACTTCGATACTTGAAGCTTAGTTTTGGTAAAAGAGATTTTATAGATGATTTGCCTTTAGCTGAAGAGGGCCCTGGCGATCCACTCATTCTTCCATCTACAGAACCAGGTGTCAAGAGAAAATTTACTTTCCTAGGAGTGGGACTCGGTGTTGGAGGCATCTTTATTGCAACAAAATCCTGAACACAATCTTCGGATGTTCTCGTGGGTATCTCCAGGTGGAGATTTTGTCGCTTCCATGGATGAACTTGGGGTGCTTCTTCAGCAACTACTACTGAATCTTCAACCTGAACAAACGAGGATATAAAATGAATTGAAGAGATTGTAAAATACGAGCAGAATGCAATACAGTATTTATTTTAGTTGCCAGCTTAACAATCTTTTCTTGTTTCAAGTTTTTCAATAAATTAATCTGATTATACAAGATAGCAGTTCCGAAGACAGAAGTAACCAGCTGGAAGTGTTGTATTAACTCATATGCTTGTTTAGAACCTACATTTTTGTATCCATTATTCGAAAATGTCTTCTAAGTCTTTTATGTAGTATTCTTTTTGTAGGCAGAAATTAATGAGGGAAAAAGAAAACAGCTTGATCCATGAAAGATAATGGTCACCATCACAATCAGTAATATCTGACGTACTTGATCATTTTTTTCTGAACTAGATTTAAATCTATTTCCTTATATCATTTATATACCAAGATTCCAGTTTCAGTGGTAAGTCATATATATCTCTGTGTCTCTGTGTGTGTGTGCAGGCAGCTGCATGAGAGGGATCCCCGTGGTTTGCAAGCCATGGGGATCACTTGTGGGACCTAATATGCTGCGTAGTTCAGTGATGTGGATCGTTTAATAACTGAACATATACCAGAAAACTTTCGCAACTATGAATTAATTTCTAATATCAGCCAATCTCACAATTCAAATCCGATACATTGTAACTTTAAAATGTTTGAACTTAGAGATTAGTAGTAATACAACAGGGGTATGTTTAAATGCACAACTGCTAGGTATTTAACCAGAGTCTCTATTATCGAAAACACATAAAACAATTTTATCATTTGATTTAGATTCACGCACATGTGGCAGTTAAACACTCAAATTTGTACTGAAAACTACATAAACTGGATGTTGCTAAGATTATTGAGAGACATTAAAATCTCCACCACACTCATTTCGGCAAGACACCCGCAATTTTTTCTTCAGATTACGAAATGTTAATCCAGTTTATTTACAGGATGTTGATTTGAAAACAATTGCACATGATCGTGTATGGGGAACTAACACATCAGGTCCGTCTTCGGCTCATTTCAGTAAGTAGATTGTACACCCATACAACTTCAATAACTTTACTTATCAAAACTAACAGAAAAAAACTGCTATTGCATCACTGAAAAATTAAAGTTACAACTGTTGATTTGTAGACAAACTTTACATATTTGACAACTGGATTAGACATTAACAGCACAAATATAGTTTTGCAGTTTTGTGCATGATCTCTACCAATAATCTTGTTTCAAATTGGTCATACCAATCAAAGAAAATCCGCCGAAAGGGACGATTTCTTGACACCGTAATGATTCACAAACCCAGTAGTAGAAATCCAAAAGCATAACAGAATTAACAATCAAATTGATCCCAATAACTTCCTGTTTATTTTTTCTTTGGCTTATGAACAAACAGAGAACAAGAGCATCGGAAAACAGATGATCCAAGCAAAAGACATGAAACAAACAATCAATTAATCATCTGAGGTAAATAAACGAGTAAAAATACTTACAAACTAGCTCATGATTAGCTCAAAACACAGGGAAAATGGCTATTGCAGAATCACAAAGTGAGTGAAATTGTAAACTGTAAATAGTATATAGAAGCAGAAAGTTTGTACCTTGTCAAGTGGCACATCAACTTCTCCTTGCCCCTGGCATGAACTTTGACCATGATCATGCTTTTCTTCCTCAGTTCCCATTCCCTCTCTCTCTCTCTCTCTCTCTCTCTCTCTCTCTCTCATACAATCCCACAAACCAAACAAAACCAAATTCAGAACACCCTTCAAACAACAAGCCTATGCATCCCAATCTCAAAAATAAACCCAAACGAGAGAAAAAATAAAGAGATTAAAAGAAAAGGAAAATATAAAAAAGAGAAACTGGAATTTTGGGTTATGGAGATGTAGGTTTCTTGGGGTGTCTGTGAGGGAGGGTGGGAGGAAGGGAAGGAAGGAAGGGAAAAGCAAGTTGGAGTAGGATTGGTAAAGGAGAGGAAAGGACGCTTGGAGATGCTGCTGAATGCACATTTATGGCAAAAGGTGGTGGGGGGTTGGAGGGGGGTGGCCTACTCTGCCTACACTACCACTCTCCACTCCTTCGTTACCTCAGCAGTCAGTATCAAATTCATGGTGCGCGCGTACCTCCGTCAATTTTTTGGGGGCTTTTTTGACACGCTAACTCCCACCCGTCGTCATACATACTTTGCTCATTTTAACAATTTTTTCCTCGACCGTCCGATCCATCCGAAAATCACCTCTAATCACTCCGATATTATGTGAAGGAAGAACTTTAAAACATCAAGGAATTTAAGTATAAGAAATAGATCACAAAAAATAAGTTGAAGAATTATCAAAAAGCATGTGAGAAGGATTTGCAATGAATACTTGAAATGAGGAAATGCGGTGGGGAGCCTTGGGTCTTGGTGAGAGGATCATAAAGGTGCTTGATTTCTACTATGACATTAACCCTCTTCTTTTTTATATAGCACTCGGTCGGCTGGTTATGTTTTGTTATATGCACGTCAAATCAGTGTCATGTGAATAAACAGACGTTATATGGACAACAAAAAAGCAAAATACGACCGGCGTGATATCAATTTGGTTCGATGTGAAATAAAAATGGTTCACAAGTTTCACATCAAAGAATAACTGTTAAATTAAAATGAGTTAATACTGTAACTAATTTTAGCTTTAGAGTTATTTTTGCTCACTTTTTAAAAGAGAGATACCAATGGTCCAATACAGTCTTAGACCTTGTTCTTTTTCTTAAAAGGAGGTTGGTCTCATTTTAGTTTGTCACAAGAACTTGGTGCGCCTGTTAAAGTTGTTGGATTTAGAATTCATCCATTCTCATTGAAGTGGAGGTGCATTTTGGTTGGACCTCTCAGAATCTCAATTTTGCTACTTTAAATAACATGGTCGGTGCTACTATTTAAGAGCATGGTTTCATACAAATGAATGAATATACGCTTATTGACATAAATCTCAAATTTGATCTTCTACCAAGCAATTTGAGAGTGTGTAAAAGCGGCATCCAATAGGAACATTGTGTTTGAATTTGGGATTAACTCTTAAACATAGATCTTGGTAGCCTTTTATCCTAATTTTATTCATTTAATTACATATTGTTTATTGTTGTGAGGGAGTTTATACTAAAATAAATGTTTAATATCCAAACTTTGATGTGCAAATCTCTTTCTCATCATTGCATTATGTTACAAAATAACAAGACTTACTATGTTTTTGTTTATAGTGTATTAATTCTGATGTTTACTTATATTATAACACGTGAATTAGTAACATTAATGATAATATAAGAATCGAAAAATTAATCTTCTCGAGATGACATTGCTTAGAAAGAAACATTCCTCCTAACCTGTAAGTTAAACTTAACTTATTTTTACCAATGAATAGTAAATTGCTTAGTGGGAAGAGATCATGAAGGAGGAGAAATGGTTGCATCGAGTGAGAGTGCACCTGGCGGCAGTGATGGTAGATAAGATGACTTGCAGAATCATAAAAGATCACATCAGCACCGTGAGTGATGAGGGCACTAAGCCTACTAATTTATTTTTTATTTCCAATCTTTTATTGTTTATAACTTTAATAGGTAGTTAATGCATTCGTAATCAAAGTCTCCAAAAATTTTAATTAGAAACCCCAGCACTTTGCTTTTCCCTGCAGTGCTTTTATAAAGGACCTCTCAAGCTCCAGTTTCTTGGGCGAGAGACCCTGCTTTTCAAAGTTCCATCTTCCTTGCTGGTGAAAAAAGCAGTTAGACTCGAGTCAACAGTCTGTGTTGCTTCCCTAACATGATTAAGACATTTAATCTAAATATTACTATTACGCTATATGGACACAATAGAGTTCAAATGTTTGCATTCTTATTGATTATTTATTAGAGACGACCCTGAAGTAGTGCTCTATGACAATTATAATCCAATGTAACTCATGTAATCAATCAAGTGATGAGTATTTTAAGAACACAAGAAGATATTCTCGATTACAGCCTATTCTTTCTCCTATGTTAGATGATGGTAAACTTGATTGAGGAAAAAGTGAGAGAGAGGCTTTGATAAAGTTATGGGTAACCTAGTGCGTATTATAATCCAAATCAATCATACCTTCACCTTTCTCATGGTGGCGGTGCTAGTTGTTGTTGTCACCACAAAGATTATCACAAATCATAAATTAGAGATCATCATATGTCGGAAGAAACAAGCCTACCAAGTGCCACGTGCCTGCTTAAAGTCCGAAATGGCTGCTAAATAAGATAAAACAATGATTTAAATTGAACAAGTGAAACGCAATGGAGCTTCCAATTAAACAATAATATTCCAAACCTAATTGAAATTATTGAAAGGCTCCATCATATGAAGGACTTTTATGTAACGGGATGTTATTGTGATAAGTCAATCACACATAGTTATTTTGAAAAATTAAAATGAATAGCAACGTGTGATTGATTTAAAATACCGTTTGAATATGATTAATAATTATTTAATACAAACTCCAAAGTATAAATTTGTTATGCTTTTTACTCCTTTCCGTTACAAATTATGCAGAAGTTATCCTTACCTGTCAGCGGCCAAAGAATTTAAAAGAAGAGAAAGCAAAAGAGAGAAAAAGAAGCATAGAGTAAAAGCAGCATTCAAATATCATAATCAGAACTCTATGATCATCTAAAGACCATCCTTAAAAACATTCATTCGATCAAAGAACATTTAATCATCCATATGAATCAAACAAATTTACTGTTCATCACAAAGATGTTATTTGTTATCATAACCATCATTTTCTTCAATACATGAATTGTTAAACAATCTACAAAATGAATAAATTTTCCTATGCATGCCATTTAAACGCTGATAAAGAGTATGAATAGCTTCGAATATGACGTTTGTACATTTAAATGATTTCACGCCGTCATTAAAGGAGAAATATAACGGTCATTGAAGTTTTGACATGTAAAGGAGAAATATAACGATCATTAAATGATTTCACGCCATCATTAAAGGAGAAATATAACCATCCTATCACATCGTTTGTTATCAAAAGTTTGAGATTTCTTTCCTCTTGGATTTGTTTCCTAATAGGACTCCACTGGACCATCGTTTTTGCAGGGTGGCACATCTCATAAGGCTAAGCCATTGAAGTTTTGAAATGTAAAAAACACTTATGGCACGCCACCTCCCAGCTCCTCTCACAGTAAAAAGCAGTTGGTCGTTGGATCAATGTGCAAAGGTTTCACTCATTCAACAAATGAAAATATGCACTCGTGAAAAACGAAAGTCCATCGAGCAAATTATGACGCGATCATACGACCAAAATCAACAAATAACATGCGAAGTTGAATCAGAATAATTTCGGGAGCGCTTTGATGGTTCGAGAATTCTAATACTTCAATGCTACAAAACTGGTAGATGCTAATTGAAAACTAACTGTAGAATTCTGTCAAAATTTTGTTAGTAAACGAAATAAATTATTTGCTGAACCATTCAGATTGGTGTGATCAGCTGCATGCCTACCTCTCAAGGAGCATTACTAATTCACAGTGTACGGTATGTGGGAAAATGTCAACAGCCATTGCTTTTACAGGACGGAAAGGTTCTGAAGCAGGCATAGACTTGGTCCTGTGCCGTGCTAGGCCAGCACTGCCCATGTTTCTCCATGCTCTGTTGTTCTTGTTCTTGTCGATTTTCTCAGGAGAAGGTGTGCAAAGCTCGATCGCATTTGCCACCAATGTTTCAGGATTGCAGGAAATGTAGCTAAACCAAATAGGAAAAGAAAGTCAGCTTCCGGTACTGAAATAAATGAAGGCAAAAAAAAAACACGGCAAACTATGTGAACTTACACAAGCTTCCTTAGATCAGCATGAGTCCTCAGTGCTTTGATCACCTACATATTGCAGACCAATCATCAGGTTCAACAGTCTCGGGAAATATCTTGTCACATACAACAAAAGCTACTAAACATATAGACATTGGTGATGCTCACGTCAATAGCCAATATCATATCACAGTCCACAATCAGAGAAAACCAATTAGGAAATGTTGTTCAGCGGAAAACATAAACAAAAAAGAACATAATTTTTGCATAAACAGTTTACTAGATTTTAAAAGAAGTTAAAAAGACTATTTAGAACCGTGGAAAGACGATTACTCTGAACATTTCCAGAAGTGAGCCTATTTCGTGAGTTGAAGGAAAAAAAAAAAACCACAACTGCAGTATTTAACACCAGTCAATGGATAAGAGTTTTTGACGCACTCGTAAAAAGATAAGTGTATTTGATAAGAACAAGGAACAGCTTGTACGCTACCAGTGGAAGGGTCTCCAAAATTTCTGAAAAACCACTCATTCACTTCAACATGGTTCACTAGACAAATTTGCTACCTCCATATACTTTCAGTCTTTGATTTCTGATCAAAGATTTCAAGTGGGCAAGCTAGCCCAAACAAACCTGACTCTTTAAAAAAGGTTAAAGTTTTCAAGGCTTGCATGGGCCAAACTGAAAATTGTCCAATCAAATTCACATGCTGGTCGAGCAAACCGTGTGTCAAAAAGGGTGAAAAATTTTCAGAGAATCATATGGAATGCACCAGAGTGTTACTCACAGTGGGGTGAAGTCCGTTTCTTGGAGGATCAACAATAGCAACAACATTACTGAAACATTTGACTGGAGTTTTCCCCTTTTCAGAAGTGCAACTGCTTTGAGGTTGGCTTCTCACTTCCTGCTTGTCAATTTCTAAACCCTCAGATGCAGTGTCAAGCTCATGGCTTGAACTCTCCTCAGGGTTGGGTTTGTTGTCCACTGAGATTGCTTTCTCGCCCTCTGTAACTATAACTTTGTCACTACCTTCAGTGACATGATCGTCTTGTTTCTGAGGTGCAATTGCGTACTCTTCCAACAAAGACCGCATCACATCCTCTGCCTGCCGTTTCACAGATGACAATAATACAAAATAAACATTAAAAAAAAAAAAAAAACCTTTATTACCTTCACCTACCTTACTCAAAGAAACTACAAATTCTACGAAAAATGATAATGAATTGACAGGAAGATAAGAAATAGTTTAGGGATTTATTATCTCCAATTTTCTTTCAAGGGTGTATTGTATTTTTCACAAGATCCAAAGGCGCAATGAATAACTTAATATAAATCACAACCCGAATTCTCACCTTCGCACAGACAAATCTACAGTTCTTTATGTCATTAATTTCAGCATTCCTACGAGCATCTG